ACCTATGAGCACACCCTGCAGCCATGCTGTTTCTCTTCTGGAGGTTCGATTTTTCAGGGGAAAACCGAAATCAAATCTAAAAACCACAGAGTGCAATACTTCTCATCAAGTCTGCTGCTGTAAACAAGTGCATCACACAAGCACAGCAGTCAGTTCATTGCTATCATGCTGCTACAAACCCTACCTCATCCTCAAGTGTTGATTCTGTTACATCAGTTCTCTGCCTACACACAATACATGTCCACATACATCCAAACGTATTCTGTGCGTGGCCAGGAACACAAGAGGTACCTCCAGCCTGGATTTCTTTACTTAGCAGTTGGTAGTTTGATATATCCAAGAGCAGCCTGAGAAGGCCAGGTGTGTATAACAAAGGTACCATGAGAGATAGTTTCCAGAGAGAAACTTAGCTCCTTGTGAGCAGTTTTCTGATTGTGAACAAACCAGGACACTGTGGTGCTTCCTGTGCATTTACTGGTGTAAATGAAATCTGAATCAGACCTCAGAGCTTATAACTTTTTTCATTTGAATTAAGACAGCAAGAAACACTAGTCGTCACCCTTCATGCCCATGACAAGATCTGCTAGATATTGGCTTGATTGGTGCATGGCAATTTGGACTTTGCATACTCAAGGCAACAGTTTGCATTAACACGATGTGATTAATAAAACAATTCTTGCTAATCACAGAAACTGTGTGCATTTATATACAACTACCTAGTCCCACACTTGCTTCTATCAATACCAAGAGCAAAAAACCTGTTGAATTCACCTTCCAAATCTGATTTGTTCTACAAAGTAAAGACACATATTTTATTTACACTTTTCAGAGGACTTAGATTCAGACCAACATTTTTCCCAGTCTGTTTTGAACTGAATAGTCACATACATGGGGCATATGAAAATAGCAGACCTTTTGAAATGTGAAAATATGCAGTTTCCCCCAAGGCTATAAAAATCAGTGGGAAGGCCAAGATCAGAACTAAGACATTTTTTGCTCACAGCCACAGATTCCAGTTTCTGCAAAATGCTGTCTACTGAGAAACATGCTCAGAGCATCCTTAGGTTGATGCTGCTTGTTAGTTTGTGCAGAATTGCTTTGGGACTGATTTTTTCACCTTGTAATACGATGTATAGAGAATCACTTGAGATGATTCTTAATGGGCACATCATTAACTACTGTCACAATGAAAGGTACTTCATGTTTAGTATCATCCAGTTCCAGCCTTTGTTCAGTCCATTTATTCCTCTGAAAAGGCCTATTTTTAATTAACATATTTGCAAATGTCAGCATTGCTGCAGTAGGTGCATGTTTCTGCTTGTGTCTTGACACTGTATGCAAGATCAGTTTAATGTTACCACAAACTTACAGGTGAATCCTATGTCCTTTCAAGCAACACATGGCCAGTGTTGTCCACTGATTAAATACCAGCTGACGGATATAATACCTTATTATGAAACAAGGCCAAAATTTTGCAAAGAATTCCATGATTGAAATGGTGATGGTTGTATATTATTATTTTCAAATTTTTTTAGGTTTGAATCCTGTACTTTGCTAATATCTTGTTGTCTCATCAAATACCACAGTCTACTTCCTACCTCTGGGCAGGGTCAATCCTGTCAATCAGATGATCAATGAACTATCACAGGCACTCAGATAACTCTGCAAATCACAACCTGTCCACTCTAACCCTCAGGCCAATTCAACAGCTCCACAATTGTGCATATCTTAGAGCCTAAACCAGCCAAATGTGGAATTCTTTTCATTACCACTGCTTCTTCTTAAATCACACAGAAATGACATGCTTGGGAAAAAAGATGGAGATTTGTTTCCACATAAAGTTATTTTCTGTGAATGCTTTCACACATCCTTTGCCTAACATGATTTTCATGAAAATGAAATATAGTCATAAAAAAACCTGCAGAAAGCCATGTGTATTACCCAAGGGGAATTACACTGCAATGGTGTTCTGTAGCTCACACTCAAGTCTCCTCCTCCTCCTCACCTAGCCAAGTCAAAAGGAACAGACACCAATACTTGAGGGTACTGAACAGCAGCATTCAGACTTCTCATTGTGCTCATGAGACAAGAAAGAATTAATGAACAGGTACAAAAAATACAGCATCATCCATCTTACAAGTGAGCAATATCTACTAAGCCCTTTACTCCCTGTGCCCACCTGCCAACATTCTACAGAAAATAAAGCTAGAGTCAATCACAAATACTGCCATGGAAAGCAGTTTATCACATTTGTTTCCAGGTTTGTACCTTCTGCTAAGCCATAGAAGTAAATAAAGAAGAACTGAATTATAAAAAAGAAAAATTAGACTACACTGAATGGAGACTTTAAACTTGTGATTGCACAGTGTGTAGAAATCCATTTCAGTCCATTCAGACACTTGCTTAAAAAAAATGTTTCAGGGAAGAAAAAGAACAAGCTCAGAAATCTGAGGATAAACTAACCTTTTTATATATTGCCCTTGATTTGCAGGGTTTCAAAACTGGATTAACTGAAGTCCAGATGGATACATTCAGTCTGCTAATCCACTGAGTTCAGTTCAAGTTTATTATGCTAAAGAAACTCCAAGAGGATTTTATCTTTTACCTGCACCCTCCTGCGCTCAGAGAGACTCTCCTGTTCATCAAGTATGAGAAGCACAAGATGGGGTGGAACCTGCCTTTTTAATTATCTTATACCAAAGTGGCCCCATGATAGAGCAGAACAGCTCAAATTCTCTTATTTTAGAGCATCTCATTAACTATAGAGGATCACAAACTGAAAGAAAAGGTATGTTGAGCCTACTATTGATTACAGCTGTATTTATCATGATTCAATAAGTTGAAATTTCATATACCAAATATTAAATTACTGAAATTATGCCCTGGCTCATCTGCATCCATTTTTTATTCACTTTTATTTGGCTGCACATTTTAATCTTACTTACACAGCGACTAACTAAAAGTAAACGACGCATTCCTAATATTATAAATATGAAAAATAGGGTGTGCTCAGGGACTGCAGTTGAATACATTAAAATCACTCAGTTTGCTAGTTAACATATTTCCATCCCTTTTATGTACAACCTTTCACATTCAGTTGGCACACTACAAATTCATGGCCTTATAAAAAAAAACACACTGCCTTGATTTTCTGTTGTGACAGCAGAAATTGTCCAAAATATCTAACAGTTTTCCTAAAGGACACTCACTAGCTGGTGCTTCCCAGGTGCAGCACAATCTGAATTGGAGGTGAACATCATGTCAAATTCCACTCATCTGTCAATGTAGTGGATTATTTCTTGAGAGACTGAAATTGGCTGCCTGGGATCAGAACACCATCAATCTTATTCACGTAGGGTGCAGAGAAGCTGCCTGAGCCAGGCTTGCAGGAGGGAAAGCTTGGCTGCTTCTAAGTAGGTGATGAGGCAGCTGTAAAACCTTCACTCTATCTGTAGCACATCTCTGAGTGAAAGATTTTGTCATTTTTCACATTTCCCCAACATTTGGTATGCATTCAGTGTCTTGCTGTTCTTGCTTTATAGAAAAGGTGATTTTTCAAGCTTAGGCAAATGTTGCAGAGCTCTGGATCTGCCCAGCTCTCATTTTTTCTCATAATGTCACTTGTTTCAACTGATTCCATAAAACGAGATTACATTTTCCTCTTACATATCTGTTTAGCTGGGCTGGTTTTCCCCATTTCCTTCACTAGGGACAGACTCAAATAACCAGCAGCATTACTGACGAATGCATTGTAATAAATCTCTGCAAGTCTCAAGTAAGATCCTCACCAGTCAAACTTCAGCTACTCTCAAACTTCCAGTGCCAGCTACTCAACACCCTTGGTGAGTCTGATGCTCTAACAAAGGTACTGAGAGCTGAGCCAGAAAAGATTTTGCCCTATTCCTCTACACTATACATATTTTATTACAAGAAATCAAGACCTGTGACTTCTGGGCAACAAAAGTACTTGGGAAAACTTTTGAGTTTTAAGGCTGCTAAAGACCTGTGGTTCAAGACTGTCTATCTTTGAAGAGTTGTCATTAGATCAAAAAAAAACATTAAAGTATTAATTGCCACATTGTCAAATGATTCATCACTGTGAGTTAACATCTCCCATCTTTCATTTCAAAAGCTCATAAAACCTCTCCCACTTATCTTTGGTTCCAAATTTGTTAAGTGACATTCTTGGCCTACCTAATTTTAACCAGATGACAATATTGTGCTAGAATATGCCAACACCTCAATTTTTAGCACAGCACATTCTTCAAAGAGCAATTAACAGTCAAAAAAGTTATGTGATCCATTTCTATCAGTAAAAACCACAATCAAACTACAAATGGTGTGCTGTCCCTGTGGACCACAACAGTCAAAGTGAGCTGTGTCCACTGCTAACCTGTGGGGTTTATTCTGGCTTTACAGGCATTTAACTCTATTGAAAGACAGCCCCAAATTCTCCTCTGGGCTGCACTTTTGCAACCCCATCAATTTTCAGAGGTAAACTTGAGAGCCTTAGAGTAACTGTCTCATTTATGCTAAGGCAAACCCCTGACCTCCAGCAAACACAGGTGACTATGAGTAAGATTTGCTGCCAGTGGTTTAAGTAACAAACCCACATGCAGTTTGGGTCAGATACAAGCAAAGTTAAGCAAATCTGTGCTGTCACAGTGTCTAGGTTACATACCCATTCCAGAACTTCACAAAACTGGGAGAAGGAGAGATAGAAATAAGGACAAAGGAACTGAACAGTTATCCAAAATGAGATTCTTAGGTTGGGAAATTGCTAGATGACGTCAAAGGATGAATAGTCCAACATCAGATTGGCAAAGCACAACACACATCAGACCAACCAAAAAACAGATGCTGTGCAATATAAAGGCAAACAACTCGTTCAAGTTAAATTATGACAAGTATTTGATTATTCAATCATTTATCAAGACAGACACAAGCACAGGCACAGAACCTGCAATCTTACAGCATCCCACAGCTGATCTCAGTCCTACCTGGTCTGTGCAGGTGATGCTGCTGGAAAGTGTGATGGAGGGACCCCTGACAGAGCAGCATTGCACAGGCACTTATCCACAAATACAGGACCCAGGACATTGCAGAGACCACTGCCATTCTCTAAACAAAATATTAGACAGACATTATTACCCAATGCCTTACAGCACACAGAATACTCAGCATCCTTTACAACAGTATTTTTGTCTTTTTCGCTCCTTTTGCTAAAGGTCTTTTGATTATTAATCCCCTCTGCAGGATGCAATTGTTGTACAACAAAGGTCATGCCCAAAAAGGACAGCTGAGGTAACAAGATGTCAACAGAGGAGCCTGAATAACTTTAATAATTCAGTGGTTAAAATCAAACTGTAATGATCTGATGACTAAAACAAACACACTGTAAATAGAAGCAAGAAAATATTCCCACACTGATCCATAGCTGAATTTACAAGGGAGTTAAAAAATTAAATTAAATTTAATAAGAAAACATCACAGCACCTACTGAAAAAAACATGTCCAGACAGTATTAAACCTACTTTAAACACATTACAGAAAGGTATAAAACATCCTCAGATATCCAAAATGCTTAGCAAAATACTCCATCCCCAAAACTGCAAGGGTAATATTGACCCAGAAGGTAACAGTTTATTGTTTGTTTGTCAGGGTTTGGGGTTTTTTTCCACTTTTGCAAGCATAAATTTTTAATCATGCTTCTGTCTACCAAAGAAAGTAATTGTTTCTCAGAATTGTGTTCTAATCCCCAGATGAAATCAGCTTCCTTTTGTTCGACCTGTGCATGTACAGGGACTGGAGCATGGCCAGACTGAATTTCAGATGTATTCTCTAGAAGGTTTGATGTTTTCACAAAACAAATTGTGTCAAAATCTTAAAAACATTCCTGTTGCAAAGGAGAAAAGCAATTTCTTTGTCTCCTGGTGCTGCCATACTTGGCCATCCAATATAGACAACTGGTTTTTTCAGACTTGTGTTCACTATTGTGCTAACTGGGAAAATTTCCTTCTGACTTGTTAACTTCAACAGCTCTTTCTCAATGCCTGCAAGGACTGGGAGCTGAACAAGGCTCAGCTACGCTACACATCGTCCAGTTCCCTTAACAACACCTTCTGCTGCATTTCATATTGCCAGATTAATCAAACTTCAGGCACTCTCCTCATTCAGCCAATGACAGGATGCTGTTCTCTATCTAATAATCCAATCAGTTGAACATCATTTTCAGAGCAAGAAATACTTGGAAGGATTAAATCCATCACATGGAAAAATCTTGTCCTTACCAAAAAAAAAAAAATTTTAACATTGAAAAGTCTGGATGTGATTTCTGCAGTAGGAAAATTAAGACTATTAAAATAGTGAAATAGAGTGGTAATAAAATATATGCACATACATTTTTTTGTCCCAATTTTAAAGCAGCACAGTCTTTGGGAAGCTTTTTTTTAGTCTAATTAGTTGAAATGAACCACATAAACTGACAAGTCTAATTAATAGAGAATACCCAAACACTATTTTGAGCAGCATGAGGCTTTTCCTCTCTCTGTACTGAGTGCTTGATGCACTGCTTAGCATGTAATCAATTTCATTTCCAACTGTTTGCTTTGCAGTACACAATGCACTTTCTCTCCTCTCTTTTTAGACCTATTTATCTTGCAAAACAGATTCAACACCCTCGGAGCAGGGAGCTCCCAGTAGGCTTCCCGTGTCTTCAGGAATTAGAGCCTTCTTGTCATATTTGGTGCTCCCATGCTTTTTATACCACAAGCTAAGAAGAAAAGGTGACTCTCAAAGTGGGATATTTCAGGTATTCAGGTTATTTAAACTGAACTTTAAAAATCCCAGGCAAAGAGCAAAGCAAAGCCAAACTTCCACAGCTTGCTAAATGCTCCTGTGCCTTTCCTCCGGCATCACATTCCTTGCACATGGAGAGCAGACTCACTTAACCCACTCAGGCTTTATTATTAGCTTCCTGCCCTTTTCTTCTTTAAATATAAAATCCTCTCTCAAACTACACTGTTTCAAACTCCCTTTGCTCAAACCCCAGCATTTCTCACATATGTTTCCTCATACGCTTGTTTGCCAGCAAACTGCTGTCACATACACATTTCTACACACAGATCTACTTATCATTAGCAAAGACACACAGCAATGACTATTTTCCACTTATTATTATTATTATGAGTTCCAGATCTGCTTTCTGCATCTTAAATCCTGAAGCATCTCCTTACCTGAGTAATCCAACCAAGAGCAGAGCACTCTAGTAGTGTTCATCGGAAAGATCTAATACTTTTTTAAATCCATCTGTATCACAATAAGGTGTTTTTTTTTTCTTTACAGCTTCCCAATAATCTTCTTTACCGGGATTAAAAGTAGAAAAAAAAATCTTTTTCGTTACAAATCCTGTTTCCAGAGTAAAGAAGACATCTGAGCTCTCAGACTGTGCCGTCACAAAAGTGGCCAAGGTTTGAGGGGTGGAAACCTTCTCATTTTCACCTTTAAATCATCTCCTAGCATCACCTTCTGCTTGACGAGACCTTTGAAGACAATTTGCAGCTTTCCAGGATACTTAGGGACGAGGAGCAGGTTCTGTGTGAGGACAGAGCCGCCGGACTCGGCAGTGCGAGGAAGGCAGCGGAACGGACACTGCTATAGGATGCTGAAGTACCGTAGCCTATTTCAATACATCCCTGCTCGGGAAAGCATCACATGCCTTAAAGCGACACAGCCCTCGCTGGCGAGCCCCAGCCAGGCACTCGGCAGCGACTGGAGCTGCATTTAAATACCAACACTCGGGCTGTGCTCACAGAGGAGCAGAGAGAGCCAGAGAGGCAGGTGCGGGTGGGAAGGCAGAGCTGAAGGACAGAGCAGCCAAGGAGTGACTGGGGATGTGCTGATTCTGCCAGCAGAGGCTTTATTCCCCGGCGTTGTTCTTGCACTTAATTCACAAGAGGAAGGCGAGACTTCAGGGAGTGTTTTCCCTTTCACATGCTTGTGAACAGGGGAAGGTATAACAAAACGCAGGGGAGAGCAAGAGATTCCAACACACTCCCATGGTCTTTCCAACACCTTGCCACAACTCTGAGTGAAATCTTTCCTCCCAACTCCATTTCCAATGCATCTTAGCAGACAATGGGGAGAGAGCTCTGATTTACTCCTAAATGCTAAAGCTCAGCCACGCCAGATTATTTATTGCAGTTATTTATTCTCCACATCTTAAGTGGCCATTTACAGGAATGGAGTGGTTTCCTCTCCCTCTTGTACCATATGTAATTATTTTTTAAAGAGCCATTGTATAGACTTAGTACATACCATTCACTTGGCATTACAGCTCTTACCTCTGCTTACAAAAGAAAAAAAGGCTTGGAAACAAAACAAACTTCCATTTTAAGAGCCCAGAGTGAGTGCTGTAATACAATGTGGGATTTTTCCTCCCCTCCTGATAACCTGTGGTACAAGAGTGAGCCACCTTCATTGCTTACCAGCACCAGACACCAAACAAAAGCAAATAATAACAGTACTAAGTACCCTTACTCTCAAGTATCTCCTTCTCGGCCCCCAAGGACACATATCTCAATGGATACTCTCACTGAGAGGTGCAATGAGTTTACTTCACAGATCACAAACTCTTTGAGGCTGCTCTACTTTTTTTGGGAAATACATACTAAGAACTTGGTCATGCAGACCAACAGGAACATTATACTGGTGTCTGCCACAATGCTCAGAACAGCTCTTTATGACAGCCTTAAAACAATAAAACAACCAGAGCGAGGTGTGTGTGACAAAGTGATACAGGAGAGCACTGGCACATGGACCCTCCCCATGGCACAGGCCACCACTGTAGTGTAGCTCCCATCTGGTCCCTGAGCAGTGCTGGGGATGAGAAGGCAGTTCAGGACAAGCCTCATGGTGACCTGAGTTGCTTTCAAGAGGCCAATATATTTTTTTAAGGTACTTTGTATGAAAACATATGGCACAAGTGAGGTTAGGGTTGTAGTAATCTGTTTCATAAAGGTTTTCTTGTTTTCCACAAAAATTTCCTTAGACACTGGGAGAAAGCCAAAAACACCTGCTTAAGACATGTTCCCTTTAGGACTTGTGGGGAAACTGCAAGGGAGAGGGTGTGAGATGGAGGGTTGTGAAGCAAGGTGAAGGAAAAGGGCATCAAGAAGCAAATATAATTTTCTAAGAAACTGAAAGGCCTTGTGGCTAGCAGGAGGAAACAGACAAATTGTGACCACACACCTTGGCAGAGTAGGCAGAGACAGATTTATGCAAGATCCAGATTTATGTAAGGTACAGCAGAACTGTCACTCTGCCAAGCACTGCTAACTCCCAGCTCCATGAGGCTAATGCCACCGTAACCCCTGACAGATGCTGCTATTGCTCAGGACAAGCTCTGAAGAAACATGGGACATGTTGCTTCTGCAGAGTAGGGGGAGATCAGAGGGACAGAATAGAATATTAAACAGGCTCTGCTTGCAGTCTCTCCCCTGCCCTGGCTCCCAGCATCAGAAAGGAACCCAGGAGTCCTTGGCAAAACTTGCAGAAGCATCTTCACACCTGCTTTGATGTCTTTGCTGCCAATTTTAACTTTCAGTGGGCCAACAAGACATGAAACAGCTCCTCTTACCCTCTGAGCTAAGCAGAGTGTCATTTTCACCTGATACTTTGGGGCTTTACTTCAGCCTCCTCACTTGGCTTTGACAGGAAGGGAATGATGCTTTACAAGTGCCCATGGGCCCATACTCAATGTGGGGCTAATGACACAATGGAAGAAAACAGGAAGGAAAAATGAGACACTAGTGAGTAGTCTGCACATATCAAAATCCTTTCTCATGAACAGGTAAGGCTCAAAGACAGTTTCTAGACAGAAGGGAGATGGGACAAAAGGTTATGCCAACCATCCTGTGCAGTGGCAGCTCCCTCCCAGCACAGGGGCAGGATGAACCCATTCCTTGCAGAGCAGAGGGGTAGAACAGCCTTTGGGTTATGTGGTCTACACCTGGGAGGTCAATGTCAAGTCCTTCCACCCCCACTCTGATACCTGATGGCACACAGAAGAAAAGACAGAACTGAGACCTGAGCTATCCCAGCTGGAGAGCACAAAAAAC